TGTAGCACTATGAAAGAAAAGATTTAAAAAAAAAAAGAAAAAGAAAAAGAGCAATAACGTATGCACACACTCACGGTAAGCACTGAATAAAAATTACGCACTCTGTACACTGTAACGCAGCGCTTGTTGTAAAAAAAAAAAAAAAAAAAAAAAAAAAAGATGAATACTTGAGCACAATACACGCACTTTTCACTGCCCTAAGTAAGTACTGAATAATATTCACACGCACTATATCAAAGCACTGAATAATATGATTAATACTGGAGCTCTTCGTAGCATTAAACTTGAATGAGGAGATGTACAATCAAATCGCATACACTGCCGATAAAGTATGTACCGTACTGCGAGAACACGATGCACAAACTTCCGGTATTAATAATGAATAAGGAGATGTATGGTGAAATCTCAAAAATCTTCTTTACATATATTGAGTATGTGCTATAGCACTAGTTCGGACTGGGGTATGTAAGAGGTAAATACTTCGTAAGCGTTAAAATCTCTTTCAAAATAAGCAATGCACACACTTTCACAGATATGAACTTGGATGAGAAATTGCATTAAGCAATGCACACACTTTCACAGATATGAACTTGGATGAGGAATTGCACTGTAGCACTAATAGAGGAAAATACTGCTTGAGCTGAATGCAAACACGCACTTGGCACGAATGATGTGTAGTACTAATTAAAAAAAAAAAAAATCAAATACACTGACAGTCGTAAGATGATTACTACTCTTATGTGGCCAAAGATGGCGGTTGACAATCTTTTCCTTCTTGTTTTGAAGGGGGGAAAAATAAATAAAATAAAAGCGATTTTGGAAGGGGTGGATTTAGAGTAGTATTCGATTACAAGCGCACCCCTGCGCTGCCTGTGTCCGAGACTGAGAGGAGGGGAGAATGCTAAAGTTCCTTTTTCTTATCAGCAGAAGGAAGGAGGGTCGGGTAACCGCGTTACTGTGTTAAAGTAACAACGGTCAGGAACACAAGCCGGAACAGTAATACTTAGAAAATTAATTAAATAATCAGTGAATAATGATGAAACTTACACTACTGAAGTCCTAGTGCTTTGCTGTAACAGCAGATACAAAAAAAATCTCTTGTAAGGCTGAATATTCCGTTCACTGTAAATCAAAATGTGGGAGCAAAATTCATACGACCTCTTATCTCTGCGTATAGACGCGCTTCCCATTCCATACAGTGTTGCCACTGCCAAATCACTGAGTTTGTTAATCAAAAATTCATTAAAGTTTTACAAAATATGAAATACGAACTTTAAAATTCAGGCTTAAAGAGTACATGTTCAGGTACAAAACAATATTATTTAAAATCTAACGGCTCTAGGTATCATAGTCTTTTCACAATGTGAAAAAATACACATTATAATACTACAGTAACATTTATAAGAATTGTTTCACAAGAAATATTATAAACATATATTATAAGGTATTTCTCCCACCTTCTTAGTGCGGCTTCATGGTGTAGTGTTCTGCACGCTGGGTGCGTATTCCAGAGGTCCATGGTTCGATTACCAGCAAAGGCGTTGCTCATTTTTCATCTATCCTATGCCAGTATAGAAAGCTTCCAAGATCCCCCTGTCTTACACCCAGGATATCTACCCATCCTTCCCTGGTGCAAATCGGCACTATCAGGACAGCAAAAAGAGATTTTCTCCAGACGGATCAAAATTTCTGGATGAGTAGGGGTACTATTCACAGTCTTTTTGAACAATGAAGAAATTTATCAAACACAATTCCGTCTAAGCAACTACCTTTCAGTCTTCCAAGCCGAATCCCTCACGCTTAAAGAAGCAGCGCTATGGTTAGGTACGCAACCAGCAGCTCACACTTCAATCTTCACAGACAGCATGAGTGTTCTGAATGTGTTGAATTCCTTTCCTCCAAAACATCCGCACACGGCAGCACTTAAAGAGATCCTCTTGACGTTAGGCTTTTCCATCCCTTTAAAGATCAACTGAATAAAAGGACACTCTGGGCAGAGAGGCAACGAACGAGCTGATGAACTAGCTAAGACCGCAGCTCTGAAACCAGAAATTGGCAAGAAAGTTCCACTTTCCGCAGAAGTTGTAAAAAGGCTCCTCAAGACAACATTCCAAGATACATGGTCATCACGATGGCAGGAAGAAGACACAGGAAGATTTACTTACATCTTCCCAATACCTACTCTCAAGAGGCTCAAATGCAACCGACTCTTCCTCCAGGCCTGTACCAACCATGGGAAATTCCCAGTGTATTACAGACAATTCCTCAGACGGGATATCAACTGTTCTTGTGGTTTTTGCGGGGAAGACACGGAAGCACTTCATTACATGCTCTACTGCCTTCTGACAGAGCATCTTCGACAGAGGTTCTTTCCTTCTGACTACATCACATATCCTGTGAATAGACTATTCATGGACTATTGATGCAACAAGAGCATCTTAGAGATATTTTTGAAGCAAGTGAATGAAAAGAATTATATCCAAGAAATTGAAGATTAATGTAAAATGTGGAAAAGCGGCCTAACCATCAGATTGCTAGCAACGACTAGGATGACTTCCTAACCGTGTAGTGCCATTAACTTAGTTTGGCAGAACAGGTTAAGTAAAGTGACCATCACTCCTGCTTCAAAAAAATCCCAACGTCTCTACAGTGGAGCCCGAACTAAAAGGGTGGTGGATGATGATTCTCCACACCCAGGATTTGGCAACTGGGTCTCCTAAAAACCCCAGTTGCTCTTTAAAAGGGGGGAGTATATAAGTTATTTCTCCTGCCTTCTTAGTATGCCTTCGTGGTGTAGTGGCCTGCACGCTGGTAGAGGCACGCTTACAGAGGTCCGAGGTTCAATTCTCAGCGAAGACGTTGCTCATTTTTCATCACTCCTGCTTCCAAAATATCTAATGGCTCTACAATATATACATGCAGATTCTTAATTTTTTAAAATTTCTTTAAAGGTAATACAGGGTGACAGGATCTAGTGGCAATAACTTGAAAAATGATTCGTCGCTTATAGTGAATGACACAAAATCGGGTTTTGATGCTAATGCCCCTTTTTGGGCTTAAAAAAAAAAAAAAAATGCATATGATCTGGACGTCACAATATTGGACATCTGGATTTCAGACTTTCTACTGTATCAGCTTTTTCTTCCCTAGACAATAATTTACCATGTACAATATTTTTAACTCCATCATTACACTTGTGCATGGTGTGGGTTGATATCGTCATTATACTTTCTAGGTAAATCCCTTACTTTCCCAAGATCTTCATACTGATAGCTTCAAGTTGTTTTTTACATTTTTTATATATTTGTATTATTTTAATGCCACTGAATTTAAAGAATAATTTCATTTTAGTGAATTATATTAGTGATTCCAATAAAAATGCATAAAACTCACTCAAAACAAAATGCTCATATTTAAAAAAACTGTGGGAAAGAAGCAAATATTTTTTTCTTCATATATATATATATGTTTCATCATATATATTTCTTCATATACATTTCTTTACTATATATGTGTGTGTGTGTTATTATTCCTAATGGACTTAAAATGTATTCCAATTAGTCTCCTGTTTCTTTAAAGAAAAATATAAGAATATATAATGGTATATGATGTGCTGCTATCATTGAAAAGCCCATCACGCATTGGTGCATGGTGTGGGTTGATATCTCAAGTGCTGTCATGCATTGCAGAAAGAAAAGCAATGCCTCATTGTTTATACTCCAGTTCAATTAGCATTATGTTATGAGTATATATGCTGGTATTAGCATGGAGTGAAGATTAGAAACTAGTTGTAAATGTATATGATTTTGAATTAAAGCAAAGTTTCATTTTGTGCAAATATTACACACAAATAACATTCTGAAATATATCATATGTAATAATATTGTAACTACCTTGTAATAAATTCATATGTTATATAGTTTCATACAAAAATAATACATGCTGTTGCTTATTTTATTATTATTATTATTTTGATTCAGTTTTAAATGTCATGCACCAGTATGTATTATGGCATTGGGAAATAATTTTATTTCGAATGTCAGTCATGCACTGGCATGCAGTCATAAAATTCTCTGACTAAAGGCTTAGCAATTAGTGTGATACACATTATTATATTTTTTATAAGTAAGTAAGCATATGGGTACAATCTACTTCCATGTCATGGCAATAACTGTCAGCACAACCTCATATGACTCGCAATGAAAGTGTTAAGATTTACTTCAGAAACAGCAACAAAATAAGTATTAAAAATCCAAAAGCTTTCAGATTTTATATTATGACGAAAGGATTTTTTTCTTCTTTTTTTTCATTTACATACACATAAACATTTCAAAAGCATTTGGGCTAAAAATATTTAACAACAACCCATCTTTAGAATTTCCTATACAGTTTTGCATGCTGGAGACAAAAATGTTTTTTCTCCATACAGTGTTGCCATTGCTCGCTTTGAAATCACTGACTTGTTAATCAAAAATTTGTTAAAGTTTTACAAATTTTGAAACACACTATAAATATTTAAAAACAGCATATCTTTAGAATTTCTGATAAGACAGTCTCGTGCGCTATCATTGAGTTTGTTAATAAAAAAGTCTACAAAATATGAAATACAAAATAAAATAAATTCAAAATTTGAGCTTTCAGGTATTCATATTTGGATGGAGAACTACATTATTCAAAATTTAATGGCTCTAGGTACTGCTGGTTTTTAACAATGAGAAAAACATGAGCATACATTCATGAAAATTCTTCATTATTTCATTTCTCTAAATATAATACAGGGTGATAATATTTGGTGGCAACAATTTGAAAAGTGATTCAGACTTTTAGAGTGATTCAATGCAAAATCCCATTTTGAGACTAACTGCCCCTCTGGGCTAACACTCCTTTGGACTAAAAATCATAAATTAATTGCAGCTTTAAAAAAAATCTAGAATTCTAACAAAAATAACAATCAATTGCCAATATTTTAGTAAATACAAAAACTCGCATACGATACTTACTTTATAGTCTTCATCACTGTCATAATCATCTTGTTTTTTCCTTTTCCTTTTTATTTGTTTCTTTCCATTCATAGGTTTAGGCTTATTCAAATAAATTTCACTAACTAAAAGAAAAATGATATAGTATTCCAAAATCATTCTATCCCATATAAAATATTGCTGCACATAATATTTATATAATAAACACAGATTATTCACAAATTTTGAGAATAAATTTGCTGCATTGTAATTAATGTTTTAAATAAAAACACTAAATACTTCTGTCTGTACGCTGAGAATTTCTAGCAGAATTTTTACTACTGAATTGGGGGGGGGGGGGGGGGGGGTCATATATGAATACCAAATAATTTTAACACAAAAATATAATAGGTTATATAATTGTTAAAATACTATTTTTATTCAATTTAACCTTAATACATATTGACCAAATTTCTTAATACAGACAAAAGTCATTGATTCGGACACCCATAATCCGGACCTCAAAGCTACAAACTTTCTGCGCATGCGTCACGTTCACGCATGCGCACAGGCGTTTAAGAGTGCACGTAAGACCTTTACTGCTGCGAATATGTTTGTGCGCATGTGCGTTTAATGTGTAACAGAGGTATAAGCTAAGCTAAAATTATCTAATTCAGTTAATGTTGCAGATTTCATTGTTCCTTAATCTTCGAATTGGATCCGGCTTATTATTTTTTGCAGACTGTTAGAGCAATTTCATAAAAGTAAGCTTGAACTTTCGATTATGTCAAATAGAATTTCTGATATATATTTACTAATATGTAATTTGTATCTACAAAGCGAAAGTATGTTTTGAAATCTGAAATCTGTTTATCAATTTCACGCCACGGATTGGAAATTGATCTGTCAGCTCTATCCTTATCTTCAGGGTCAAATAGAGTTTCTGATATATATTTATTAATATGCAACTGATCTACAAAGCGAAAGTATATTTCGAAGTTCATTAAACAAAAAAGTGGAATTGCTGCAAAAAATGGATAAAGGCATATCCTTTGTTTATCTAAACTTTGTTTATCTTTAACACCGCGGAGCACGATGAATTGGAAGTTGATCTATCAGCACTATCCTTATCTTCACGGCAGATGTTTTTATTTTATTTGGCTTATAATTCCTTACTAAATGCAGTATTTCATGTCGATGTACTCCGTCTTTGATATGATTGAAAGCAATTATAGGACTTGAACAGCGGAACTTTGTAACTAAACAAGAAATTATGTCTGTTTAATAGAATTAAAGAGAAAGTATTATCACATGAAACGAAGCAACTTACATTGAAAGAAATGTTTAATAAAGTAAACAAATAAATATTAAGCTTTTTCTTTTTGTAAATTTTGATACCCTTTAGATCATAATTGTTCTTTATTTCATAAATTACGGTTTCATATTTTTAATTTTGTAATTTCTGCATGCCATCTTACCAGATTTAAACTGATGATCTATAATCCGGAAAAATCGATAATCCGTAATCGCCGAAGTCCCGACGAGTCCGGATTAACAACTTTTGACTGTATTGCTATCCAACTGAAAATTTTCTAATAATTCTTTGCTTGAGGCAATTTTGACATGAATGTCATCGTCTTCTATTTCACCATTAACATCATTACTCACCTTTTAGATAATATAATCTCTTCCATCTATAGTCTCAGCAAACATGAAAACTTTTAATTTAAAACTAGCATAACACACAGCCCTTTTTTAGTTCTGGTATCTTTCATTGTGTAATAGAAATGAAAAAAAATATATTTTAGTCGTAAATTGAGAATGCAGTTGTGGGGGGAAAATCCTCTGATATCTCAAAAATGATTATCACAAGCAGAACCAACAAAAATTCAAGATACTACTACCACAGTACCAAATGGTGCGAACACTCAAATGTTCGAGGAATTGAGAAAGAAAAGCTACTGGTAACAACGTGCCCTTTCAGTTCACACTCTTGTTTTTACTATGGAAGCTGAGAGTAAACTGGCTTTTATCTTCAGCTCATATTATAGATCTAGCTAAGTTACATTATCAATTAGTTATACTTCTGGTATACACACTGTTGGATTTATAGGGCAATTTTAAATTTGGCTTATAGACAGGTTTTCAATTTTGGTTGAATTTTTGCCACAAAATTTTATCTCTCAGCTTATACACAGTTTGGCTAATATCTGAAAGTCTATAAAATTTCTTAAATGTTCTATTTGATGAACCTTTCAATGGACTTTCAGTCCACATCTTGATTTCCAAGATACGAAGGTATTTCTTGCAGTTTACATCAGTGGTATTCAAACTTTATGGCACTTTGCCCTCTCCCCTCAAACAGTTTCACGACCTCAATCAAAGCACTGATACAGAGTTATTCACCACCAATTCAGATTTTTTAGAATTTTTATCCACCTTATGACCCAATATCAGATCACTGCCCACAGTCTGAATACCTTTGGTTTACCATATTATTTTATTCTACTCCTCTTACAATGCTTTCCATAGCTGCTACAACATTTTAGGTCTATGTTTAGCTAATGCTATTTCAAACACTTCAAAAGCACATAATTTGCAGGTTACAGTTTATAGCTGAATGCTTTTTGTCTTCCTTTTGCAATGAAAAATTTTTTTTTTTTTTTTTTTTTTTTTTTGTCTTGCCCATCACAGACATTTAAATAAATCCATGCTTCATCAACAGTTGCAGCATACATTCATCTCTGGATGAATGATATTAACAGAGAATTTTATAACATGCTCCACATTCAGTATATGCCTACACAAATATGAAATGATGAATATGAAATGGTTAGCCACCAACCCAAATACTGTTTACTGCAATTGTCATTTAAAAAAAATAATTATTTTTATAGCAACAATTACTGACATTTTTCATAATTTATTCTTAGTGGATACTGTCTTGTCAGAATAATGGAAATAAATAGATCATACAGCTACAGTTACACCACTATTTGTACACCACAGAGATCCATGAAGAGGGGAAAAAAAAATTAAACCTATGGAATGAATATGTAATCACATCAACACATCATCAAATGTCAACAAAATTCTCTAAAAGTTAAAAATATTGTTTTAACAAAGAGGCAGGCCTTAAATTTGCAACTCAGAACCATTACTGATGTGTAATGAAGTTTCCACTTTGAAATATGTTTTTCAAGCACCAAATTTATAGTTATGATTATATAAAATGCCTGCACTTCGAACAGTATTTAAAATAATCAGAAAATGGACAGAATTAATATAAAATAACAGTTCTGAAATGCTATAACATTTCACAAATCTCACTGTAAAAATTGCAGTAGTAATTTTGTATTCTAAAACATAGCATCTGAGAAATAAAAATAAACTCGTTTTCAGATTTATCTACTTATTTTAATTAATAAATGAATAAAAAAATACCTTCTTTAAGAGATAACCTCTTCTTCACTTTACCAAGTTCTTCATCTTCAGATGAAATACTTATCGCATCATCAAAGGAAGAAAGTTCACTAGTATGTACTGAACTTACTGAATCCATCGAAAAATTCCCAATAGATAGGACTGATTCTACATCACTTTCTATCAAAAATTTAAAATACAATACACATTACAGCATGTCCTATTAACATTACATAAGAAATCTAAACACAAAGAGACAAAATACAAGAGATCACAAAGAGATCTTTTTAACTAACTATTTACTTTTTATGATATACATCAAAAAATAATTATTTATTTATTTTGCTTATTATTTATTTCATTTTTTGTAAATCTTTCTTATAATTTCCTTTAATTTACAAAAATTTCTCAATGCTTTGTCCAAGTATCTTTAAATACATTATGTTTCATAATAAGCACATACACAATTTTTAAAGGGACTAACTTACCATTACTTTCTGCTGTATTATTCAAATCCTTTTCTCCAGATTTAGAAGGTACACTAGAAGATGCAAGATTAAGCATTGAAATATGAGATGATGTATTGGGTAAACAAGTGTTCAATGCTTTCTTATGCTTTTCAGCTTTCATATGACTCTTCACGGCAGCTTCTCCCATGTTACCAATACTAAAACTTTTACAACATACAGTGCATTTTGCTTGACGTTTATCAGTATCATGGCACTGAAGCCATTCTTTATAATTTGGATTTTCCAGCCACTTTTCATTGAAAAATCTTCCATCTTTTTTATAGTTCTAAAATAAAGAAAGAAAATGTATAATTTCAAAATATAAAAGAACTAAGGTAATGTCTCTCTTCAAAATTTAATTGCTCTACAAAAGTAAAGTAGTTGAGCCTTACATCAAATGCTAAATATACTTAAATTAAACAACAGCTAATGCTTCCACATGCATATACATTTTATTATTTCATCCCCCTTAAAAAGTTCACTCACCAAAGAACTTTTCTAAGCCATAATTTTGCACGGGGAATTATAAAAATCATTAACTGTTTAACAATACTTTTACTTTTTTTTTAAGTTTCTCTTTATGATAGGGAAAGTTTCACCTTTATTTTTATATCTTCAAAAAATAAATATACTAATTTCTTTAATTTAGAGATTATTTTGAAATATTTAAAACTTTATTCAGATAGTCATAAATGTCTTTAAATACAGCACAAAGTCTGAGAACTGGATTCATCACAACTTTGGAAAATCTGAATTTAGGATTTTTCTGGATAATAGGATTATTAAGTTTAGTATGATGACATGTAGAAATTAGAAAATTAAAAACATAAAATAGTGATTTATGAAATAACGAAGCATTTATGACCTTACAGGAATCAAACTTTACAAAAAAAGCTCAATATATGTTTGCTTTATTAAACATTTGTTTTTTCTCTTTAATTCTATAAAAGGCATAATTTCTGGTTCAGTTACAAAGTTCTGCTGTTGAAGTCATGTAACTGTTGCATGAAGAATTCCTATGAAACTGTCAATTGAAACTTTTTCATTCTCAACGACCTCTTTGTCACTTTCTCATCTATCGGTAACAATATTACCCAGATTTAGAACCATGCCATAGATTTTGTCATCTATTAGTTGAATGATGATTGGGACATTCACATTGCAATAGAAAACTCCTGTTACATCATGTTTATTTATTACCAATTCTCCATATTCCTTCATAATTTCCATTAACTGAAAAATTTTGCTATTTGTTTGACACATCTGAAAACTTTCAAATTCATAGCTATCATCATAAAGCATACCTAATCTCTATTATACACTAACAGCGATCGATTCAAGTTTAGATGTACATGAGAATGGCAACTAAAAGCATGTTGTTCTACTAAATTTTGTCTTGCTTTTATCGCATGTTGATGAAGTTAAAACTGCATTGTATTAGTTACTTATTACGTAAAAATGACTAAATAATTTTGTTATTTATTATGTATATCTATATATATAAAAAAGAATGTCTACGTGTTTGTTCACTAACAACTCAGTTACTACTATAGCTATTGTCACCAACATTCCATAATTCTTTTGGGGTTCTGAAAAAGGTCAATGTCCCCTTTTTTCCAAAATAAATAAAATTAAACTAACTAACTATATATATATATATATATAACTAAAATCAGAGCTATTAATTAAATACTCTTAAAACGCTAATTTTCGCCCACTTTTTTGCAAGTGGCAACAGTGCTGATATATACAACAATGGCTGTATGCCATTATTGCTGATATAATGAGAGAGAATTAGTTTATTTTTCTATCAAAATTTCTATGTGGGTTCAATATCTCTAAAAATAATGATCTATAGGTAGCTCTCGTATAACATCGTATAACCCTTGTATCACACGGTCTTAGAAAATGCTGTGTTGTGTGAAACCGTGTTGTACGAGACCCAGAGCCAGTATAAAAAGAGGAGTTACGTTCCGAAAACTTATTAAAAACAATTTTTTTAATTATACTAAACACTTAATTTTGTTAAAATATATTACACAAATTTGTACAAAACAAAAATAAAAATAATTCATATTTTAATTTAATGCAACTTTAGTTTAATAAATTTCTTCGTTGTCATTGCTCAGTATAATCAACAGAGAACGTTTTTTCGGTGAAATGAGATCGTTTTCACTTTCAGAATTTCTTTTTCATTTTAAATTCTGAATTCTTCCCCTTTAAAAAATCTGTAATTTTACTTTGCTTACTTCTTCTAACCGGGTCATTTTAAATTTCTCAATATAGAGCTTGACAGTTTTGCAGCTCCCTATTGAATTTTTGGCTTATTTCAGCGGAAGGATCTGCACTCAAGAAAAATAACTTGAGATTTTCAGCTAAGTGTAGGCCTTCTTTTAATTTTTTTAATGTTAAATTATTATCTTCACAATCTTCATCAGTGCTAGTGTCCTCAGAAGCAATTTGATTTACAGCTTCGATGCCATTTCTATCAAATCTTCGTCAATTTCTTCTTCCGTTAATAAATCTTAAAGATCCTCAATAACCATGATCACAAAACCTTCGCCTCCGATTGATTTAGCAAGTTTTAATATGCCACCAATTTCATTTTCTGATGATTTACACAAGTTTTCTATTTTAACTGAATAAGGCCATATCTTCTTCTAAGATGCATTTAACGTTGATGCTTTCAGTTTTTCAGCGACAAAGATACAATGTCAATTCAGTTCTTGATTGAAAATATCTTCCAAACTTCCTCTACATGAATTGATTTTGAATCGGTTACTTCTCAAATCTATTGTAATGTTCTTCTTATGTAATATGTGTTAAATGTATAAATAATACTTTGATCCAATGGTTGGAGTAACGAAGTAGTGGTAGGTGGTAGGAACAGTATTTTGCCAATGGGATGATTCAAATCTTATGGGGGACAAGGAGCATTATCTAATAGAATTAAGTGCCTTGAAACTCAAATTTTTCTGCCTTAAATAATGCTCAGCAATTGGCACAAACCAATTAAAGAAAAAAAGAAAAAAAAAAAAAAAAGAAAGAAAACCAATCTTTAAATATATTCCCAGCTACCCAAGCTCTTGGATTTGCTTTCCAATATACCGGTAAGGTGTTTTTATTTACACCTTTAAAAATCCTTTGTGGCGCACTATACTTTAAAGTAGGAATTTAAAAAAAAAAAAAAAGTGTATGCAGTTTACCTAGGCCTAAAGGAGTATACAAGTAAAATTTTGTAAAAATTGCACTTACTGTTTTAATTCTGTGGGTGTTCCATGAGGTGGAATACTGATAGAGCTCTTAAAAGTGTGACTAAACGAGCATTGCAGTGAAGCACGGAAATGATTATAAGCTTTTGTATTGTAATGAAAAAAAAAAAAAAAGGACACTGTATTACGGCTGTATACATGGTTTTCTGAATATACACAACATTCTTGAATATATATGGATAAATGAGAAAAATATATGTATATACACAAGTCCTATATACAAAAATATTTACATTTCTTTTTATTTCTTAGCTTCGTGAAATTGTTCAAAGCATGTCACACCTTTTTGACAGAAGCACAAACCAACTTTGCAGGTTTTGAAAACAAAACTTGTTTTGTGCATCTTCTGTTCCGTGCAATAATATGTTTAGAATTCCAGTTAAAACTTGAGCTTGTGTAGAGGAGCCTGGCTGAGATGGATCATCAACCTTCTCATCAAATAAATGAGTTTTACCCGACATATCATCATCGGATTACACAAGTGGTTCAGGAGCATATATCTCAGTATCATTGCTGTCTTCATGCTCTGATTCAGAATCAGAGAGTAATTCATGACGTTGGTATGCATACAGTGTTGGACTGTCGCCAATAGCGCAATAAACTGTATAAACTGGAAACCCTGCAAAAGATTTAACTGTGTAACTCGCTTATTCTTTACACTAACTTTTCTCACTCCTTCAGGAAAGGACAGTGATATGACACTCTCTATAATACAACTCCCTTTTTTCAATGTATATATTTGGAATATTAATGAATTTTTATCTATTTTCATGTATTAATAAAGAATGTGTTTTGTGATCTTACAATTTCCGTCTACACCTATTTTGGATTACAAGTTAATTAGGTATGATCTCGCTTAATGCTGCGCTGGATACAAGGTAAGAAGAATCATTTTGCTCTCTATTTTAATTAATTTGCTGTGAAATTTCGAGGCTATAAAATGTTTTACAACACATAAAGCACTTTTAGAGCTTCGAAAAGAGTTAGACTTCTCCGCGCCATTTATGGAAAATTAATAATAAAAAATTAACTACAATTAATATTAACAATAAAGAAAAATAAGCTATAAGATATACATACACAAAAAATATCTGTACAATTATTGAAAATAAACGGGAATGAACTAAAAAGTGACAGCAAAAAATTCATGCAGATCCCTAAGTAAAGATGACTTGAGCTACTGATAAAATTCCCGCCTGAAAACTACTCACTAAAATTTCAAGATGCCTATATTAGGGCTTTTATAGCACAAACCACACCTCACCCATCAAGACTGCTTCATTTGAATTCATTCCCCCAAAACAATGGAAATAGAAAACATATACAAGAGATGTCTTCTCCTAAAACAGATGTTCTGATGCGTAATAACATGAGATCGCTAAAGGCGCAGTGTTCCCGCTAATGGAACACCTCGTTTTATTCAATGATTCAGTGCATGCTTTTTTTATGAAAAATGTAAAAAAAAATATATAACAAATAATATACAGCCATCAAAATTATACAGAAATCGTTTTTCAAACAAATTTTTTTGTATCACAAGAAAAATTTAGAAAATTACTAGAAAATAAGTGGATTTTAATAACACATCATAAAGGAAAATTTTGGATCTCCTTGTGATATGCTGCCATTTACTATTTAAAAAGAGAAGTTCAAAGTATATTATAAAGGCATTTTTATCATTTACGGTTGAATTTAACGGTTTCAGAAGTGATTCAAGATGGGTGTTTCATGTAGTGGAACGCTGAGCAACAAAGGGTTAAGGGCACGAGGATTTAAAGATCTATAAACTAACAAGGGTTTTGTCATAACATCCAAAGTCATACTGCACAAAAGTGGCATTAGACAATTTTTAAACACCTTAAATTTCCCACATGTTCTTCAGGCTTATCTGAATGCAGAATAAATTAATTCCCACATACATTTAAAGCTTATCCAGAGCTGGTGCTAAACATTTTTCAAGTGACCAATCATCATTTGTACTTCCACAGCTGAAGAAGGTTCTATGTTTATACCTTCAAAACTAATCCTGCAAAATTTATAAACATTATACTGTTTCTTGTTGCTTCAATTCCTCCAGTAAAGAGGATTTGTTCTGTTGGAATTAAAACAGAAGTAATTTAACTGAAATCATTGAAACATTGTTTAAGTTATGGATGTGCAAAGACTGGATGCTGCATTTTAAGTAAATTAAATTCATAAATAAAGCAATTTTAATAATTCCTAAAAAAAGTCACTTTTTTCTTCCCTCATACATACAACAGCCCTTTGTAAAGCCTATGTGAAAAAAGCTCCATAGCTAATTTATACATTACATTTCTACTCCAGGAAAAGATTAATTTAAATATTATGTATTTATGAATTGACACATAGGATTAAATTACAGTAACAAATTTTTCAAATTTACAATAGAAATATGGATAAATGTGTACTAAATACAAGTTTTCAACTCCAGGATAAAGTTTAAAAATTTTAAATGTATCTATTTCCTCTCAAAATTAAACGACAAATTATTACAAACTTTGAATAAATTATCAATATTATTCTAGTATATTTTATTTAAAACTGCACTTACGTGAGGTGAGATTTGGTTTTTCAATCCATTTTCTTCAGAAACTAGAAATAAAAAGAGGTACATAAAAGCAATTAAGATAACAGCAACAGGAAACTAATAATTTCTTTCTACATATCTCTCACAATACTGCCATTTAATCTTATTCTACTGATGGTAAATACATATAAAATACAGTCAAAAGTCTTTAATCCGGACTCGTCGGAACTTCGGCAATTCTGGATTATCGGTTCTTCCGGATTATAGATCATCATTTAAATCTGATAAGGGCATGCGAAATTAAAAAAAAATATGAAACTGTAATTTATGAACTAAGAGCAATTATGATCTAAAGGGGTAAAAATTTACATACAAAAAAAGATATACTTATTTACTTTATAACTTTCTTTCAATGTAAATGTTTAAGTTGCTCATTTTATGTGCTAAAAACTTTCTCTTTAATTCTATAACAGACATAATTTCTTGTTCGTTCAAGTTCCGCTGGTCAAGTTTAAACTGCTGTGTAGAGAATATGACTAATTTGTCAATCAAATTTTTTTTTTTGTTTTCAAACCTCTCTGTCCATCTTTACTATCGAAGCGGTAAATCGAAACATGCTTTCGCTTTGTAGAGCTTTAGCAGTTCCAGAATCGGAAACTCTTTTGACATAATCGAAGTTCAGCTTATTTTTTACAAATGCTCTAACATCTGCAAAAAAATAGCCGGATCCAATTAGAAGATTAAGGAACAAAGCAATCTGCAACATTAACTGAAATAGATAATTAATAATTTAGCCTAGCTTATACTGTCCGTCCATGCAGAAAGTTTGCAGCTTTGAGGTCCGGATTATAGATCATTCCGGATTAAAGACTTTTGACTGTATTTCAAAACAATACTAAAAATGGCTTTAGGGCCCCTCCCCTAAATGTGAACTTTTCCATATAAAATAAAAATGTACTACTAAATTATGTGATGGAAGGAAAAGTGAGTGGAAGGTGAAATATGAAAAATTGATTAAAAAAAGATTTTCATATTGGCAATTGGTTTTATGGTTTCAGAAATTTTTTTCTTACCACTTTGTGCTACATGTCTTGTTGGGCTGTGAAACTTATTTTCACCAGATTATGAAATGTGTGTGAAAAATGTATTAATGGTTAAATGTGCAACAATAAGAGTTAAATATATGAGAAAACACAATCACTAAAAGAAAAAATTACACAAAAGTGTTATTTCCACTCTCTTGATAAAACACTTACAAGGTAAAATTCATGTAAAAATTGTCAAGGTCAACAAAAGTCTACTAGTCAAATTAAAGGACAGTGTGGTAAGAGTTTTGCAGGAATTTGCAGAGAAACACACGTTTCCTTGTGCAAAATATGACAGAGACACCAAAACCCTAACAGAGATCACGAAAAGGAAACATAAAATTCTCAGATTATTAGCATGCTTATTTGAACAAGAAGTTTTAAAATGATTTCTTTTCTAATTTCAGTGTGGGTCACAAATACAGTACAAAGTCTTTAATCCAGAATGATCTATAATTCAGAAAGCTACAAACTTTCTGCACATAAATGCATATGCACATGCATAAATGTATTTACGCATGTGCACATGCATTTACACATGTGCATATGCATTTACACATGTGCATAATATGTTTACGCATGCGCATTTAATGTATAACGGACGGCATACTCTAGGTTAAAATTATCTAATGATCTATTTCAGTTAATGTTGCAGATTGCCTGTTCCTAATCTTCTAATCGGATCCGGCTTATATTTTTGCAACGTTAGAGGAATTTTATAAAAAGTAAAGTGAACTTTCGATTAGTCAAAAAGAGTTTCTGATTCTGGAGCTGCCAAAGGATCTACAAAGCGAAAGCATGTTTCGATGCACCGCTTCCGATAGTGAAGAAAGTGACAAAGAGGTTATTGAAAACGAAAAAATTTCGATTGACAAGTTAGTCGGTATTCTCAACACAGCAATTACAGGAATTGAAGTGGAACTGAACAAGAAATTATGTCTTTTTATAGAATTAAAGAAAAGGTAGTAGCACAAAAAAAAAACGAAGCAACTTAAACATTAAAAGAAATGTTTATAAAGTAAACAAATAAATATTAAGGCTTTTTTTTTTTTTTTTTGTTTGTTTTGTAATTTGATACCTTTAGATCATAATTGCTCTTTATTTCATAAATTACGGTTTCATATTTTTAATTTTATAATTTCTGCATGCCATCTTACCAGATTTAAATGATGATCATAATCCGAAAAAACACCTAATCCAGAATCGCCGAAGTCCTGACGAGTCCGGACTTTGTACTGTACCACTTTTTAGATCCAACATACAAAAAAAGAACCTCATTCTGAAAAATGGCACAATAACAGACAAAGGAGGAAATTCTTTAGAACTTAGATTGTTATATTGAAGAATTTATATTATATTTCGATGCACCGCTTCCGATTAATTGTACCATTAATATGTACGATGAAAAAAAAAAAAAAATTTGATTCTCCGACAGCAGCAACTGCCAAATTATACCCATCACAAAGTGTTGCTCTTTTTTCTCTTCCTTGTTGGTCCATCCCTTTAAGTGTTGCCTTAACATTCTTAATTTTTTTTACTAAATTAACTTTAAATAAGACCTACGTGCTGGCCATTTTAATAAAGAAGTACCCAAATTCAGATTTCTTATCGGGTGCTACATTATTTACATTTGGGCTGAAATATTTAAGGTTTTGCATATTGCAGTAGTTTATTTATAATCCAGAGTGACATATTCTGTAGAGTACAACTGTTGTCTGAAGAAACACAGAAGTTTTAGTACCGGAGAAAGAGTGCTCTAATTTTATCTTCACCATTATATAAGAATGGCAGAAAAGCACTTTATGGTGCCAGTAAATTTTGTTACTTCCGAAATATGCACCTTTTTTGTTTAAAATAAATAATAAAATAGTATTTTAAAATAAGATAAATCAAGAATAATTGTTAATCTTTAATTGTCGCAAAATCAAATTAATCTTTTAAATGCATTAACAAATGTACAGTTTTGATTTGAGTATTAGATGAATAAAGTTTTTAAATGTAACAAAGATAAACACAATTTTAGCTCTCTATTATTTTCTTTTAAATTATTTTAATATCCTTGAATTTTTTCATTATAAACTTGCTTTATCTCAAAAACAGTAAAAAAAAAAAAACTACATTTGTTTTTTTGCCATTCTTTTATGTCACTGTAAATATTCAAGAACAAAAATTTTGTGCGATCAATGATTTCAGGAATTGGCCTGATAATTAAAAATAATAATAAAGAAAAAATGTGGAGAACAGAGCAAATGAGAATATCAAGAATTTGACACTATTAATGTACATGAATTATGTTAAAGTATAGCACAGCTCCAATTATACAAACTCCAACTATCCGAATCATTTTCAGAATTTCAGCAAAACCTTAAGACCAAGTGATACCACAAAATTTTCATCCCTGAAGTGAAAAGTACCGTACAAAAAATATCTTTGAAAAAAAGCAGTAAAGTGCTTTTGATTACTGATAATGAACCAACTCACCCCACTGGAGAATTGTTGGAAAGAGGAAATGGCCAGTTTACAATCTTTTTACAGCCAAATGTCACAAGCTTGTTGCAACCAATGGACCATTTTGCTAACATAAACCATGAAACGCCATTACAGAAGCCAACTTTTAAGGAAACTTTTTGTAGAGCGTGAAGACGGAGAAGAAGTGTTGGCTAAACACAAAAAAATTAATTTGAAAGATTGCGCTTACACAGTGGCAAAAGCTTGGAGCTTGGTTAAGGCAGTCACTTTAAGACAGGAATGGAACAATTTGAAAGGCATATCAAGAAGAGAAGGAAAAGGAGAAAAAGAAGTTAAAAATAAAAAAAAAAAGAAAGAAAGAAAGAAAGAAAAGAGACAAGAGATGAGGATGACATGTCACTTGAGGAATTAAGAAACATTCTTTTGAAAATTCCTGGATGTTCAGAAGTTAATGATGAGGATACAGTAGAATGGATGATGTGTGATTCGCCACACCCTTGGTTTCAAATTCTAAATGATGATGAACTTATTTAAAGTGTATGAGAAGAAAGTGTCGAGGAAGATAACCTTAATGTTGAAATTAAAGCAGATACGGGACCATCAGCTAGTGAAGCGTTTGCCGGCCTTGAAATTGTGTTGAAGTGGATGCAGCATCAGCTCGAGTGTGACCACATGCAACTTCTCATTGTCAAGCGGATGTGTAACTTGACTGCCTGAAAATGAATGAAGAGAGCCAAACTGCTTACTTGCTTGCTGAACAAGATGTTCAGCAAGCAATGACTTTCAGCACTCATAAGTACTGTACAATACACTAATTAACATGTACGTAAAAGCATTGTCTTTTTATTTTAATTAATTAAAACCATTTTTTCTCAAAAAATAATTTTCTCTCATTTTCAACATGCAGTACATACAGCAATTAATTAAAGTGTACATACACTCTTTCTTCAGAAAAAATCGAATTATCTGAATTCTTGATTATCTGCATGGGGTCCGGTCCCCACTGATTCAGATAATTGGAGTTCTACTGTATAAATAGTTTTAGAAAGCTTCTGGGAAATAATTTGAAAACTCTAACTGGAAGAACATTACAATAAAAATTGTATAATTAGGTAAGCAGAAAAGACTGTCATAAATTTTGACTAACTCTATTGAAAGTTATTAATTTTGAGGACAAAGGGCAAGGTCCCTCTTGTTCAGAAGCAAAAATTCTTTGCTTGTGAAAAAAAATGGCCTGTATCCAAGTGTCCTCAAAACTGGCCAAAGTTTTATTCAAAATCTATATTTGTCTTCCCCCCCCCAATTTTAAATTTGATAACTCCTTCACTGCTAATCTACAGTGCACTAAGAATACAAGAATACAATAGAAAAGAATAAAGTCTATTCAATATTGCTTCTTCATACTCACATAAAACAAAGCTCCCAAAGAAAAAAGCAATTTTTCTTTTTTACTACTCAAATGCTCCACTAAAATTTAAAATGCAATATTATACCTCCATTATTTCTCATAT